AATAGAACATTCCACGTTATAATATATCCCCCCAAAGAGGTATCGAGGACGCTCAGAAACGTTGCAGAATATGTATATAATAAATGTTAGCCATGGCCATCTTTCAGCAAAAGAATTTTGCTTATTTGATTGTGAATAATGCGAAGTAAGATCTATCACTTCTAGAATATGATCGTTGGGTAAAATATGATTTACTTACGCAGTTACAATTTAAAGAACGCAGAATGGAAGCTGATTTGACCAGGGCTTAACCGCGCTTGCGAAACATTATCGAACACCTGTGCAAATGACTGAGTCCCCGGAAACATCTCAAGCTGACTTTTCGTTGCACTGTGAAAACTTTAGAAATCTCTCGCAACACACTAGGAATGCCATGAAATCATGATTGGGAAAGATGGAAGAATTTTATACTTGGAATGCTTAAGTAGTCCATGATATTGTGGAATATGAAGCAATCTTCCGCACGTTAGAAGAATAAAGAACTGCAGAAGCATATATCTGAATTCCACAGCAAGTACACTAAAGCTGCAGTACGAAGATTCATCCATCAATTGGAAGATCTGTTTGAAATCCAGGCTTGTAATATGAATCTAATAAGTCCGTCAAAAATACAATATACAATCGAGCATCCCTAATCGGAAATACTAGGGACCAAGACTGTTTCGGATTTTGGAATAAATGATACGGTGGAGTTGAAGATAACTAAGCAAAAATTTTATGTAATCGATGACGAAACTCATGATGGGTCACGGAGTTCCGAAATATAAACCATCTAACACGTTTTCTCACCCAAATTCTCCACTTGAACACACAAAATACCGAATCTGCTTCCTCCGAACAAAAATATTTATCGCCCAAAACAGTGAGTTCCCATCTCAGAGGGCTGCCTGCTGTGAGGGTGAAGTTCCAGAAAGCGATAGCAGCTCATTACAAATCACAACAACAAGAAACTCAGTTATTTCATAAATTGAAACGACCTGGGTTTCGCTGGAGTACAGTATCATCAGGTACAGAAACGCACCCTAATACAGCTTATATAGGTTGGTAGAGAGGGGGCTTGAGGAAAGGGAAGGAAGAAGGATTGGAGTTAAGGGTTGTTTTTATCATAACATGTAAGCATGAAAATAGGGTGTATTTGATGTGTTCTCCCTTTTGACCCTGGAGTCAAAATGAGTAGTGACAAAGTGTGCCCACGAATGAAACGTAAAGAACTTCCGATAATGGCTGACCATCCGCCCATGTTAGGAACGGAGGAAGCTGTTTTCTGACTGACCCGACTGATCAGAAAATACAACTGACGATGGAAGGATGTTGAGAAAAGGGACGGAAAGGGTGTTACGGTCGTTGTTCATATTATCCAAAGATATTTCAGAAAAAAACTCAGAACTGAGAAGCGAGTTAATACAATGTAACGGATTTCGGAATTTAGAACTGAGGATACTCAACCTGTATCGCCAATGGTGTTTACCGCATGTGCTGAATCAATATTGTGAAAAATGAAATGGCTAGAAGATTTCAATCAACGGCAGACGGATTTGCATATGATATAATACTGTTGGGGACGAAGGCGAAAGAAGCGGAAGCCATGCGATGAGAGCTGAAATTAAAGAGCAAGCAAACTGACTAGCAGTCAGATAAACACGGTGAAGTCGAAATTCGGCAAGAAGCAATTCGCACAACTAGCGACAGTTATCGTCAATGATACCAGGCGGAAGAATACCAGAATGTTTCTTTGCGACAGCTGACCGTCTTTGGTCCAGAACTCACCAGAAGGCACCTTACGGCATGGAGTCGTACGGAAAGAACAGACACTTGAAAAAAATAGAAAATTATCCATTGCGATTAGAACCACGTTGTATAAAGGCACAGTACTGTAAACTACCTCATGCTACCTCATACGGTTGCAACTACTTGGGCATTGATAAAAAGGGTGAAAAACTATTGAGTGCAGCAACGGATTAGGGAAACGAGGATGCTAGAAATGCCCAGCAATGACAAGCCGCAAGATGAGCAAACAGAAAGACGCACGAGAAGGGCAGAACGTTGCATCAATTTCTAAAGTGAGAAAAGAACAATGAACAGGTCACATTGTGCGACTGATTCATGGCCGATGGAATTAACAGTGACGGATTGGTATGGAGGAAGTGGTGAACGACCAATTGAATGGCCTCGGCTCAGAAGGTACGAGACATGGATGCAAACCAGCGTCCAAAAATCACACGAGACAGACCAACGTGATCATCGAAACTGGCAATGATTATTTTCGCTAGAAGGATCAGTCAATTGTTGATACACTTTTATTAATTATCAAGCATAATAGTCATACCGATGACATTTCTATTGTTATTCTGTGTTGAAAGAGTTGAAAAAAACTGTCGGAACCGGATTGAACATCACATTAAAAAACGCAATAGTGCATATTTATCTGTTATTTTTAGAAATTCATATTTTTGTTTCTCTTTAATATTAATTTTTTTCTATAAATTTCGTACTGGACAGGTTTCACTTATTGAGTTACACATACACTGTCATTAGGACGAAAAAGTAGTTCGCATTCTGTGGTAATTCGTGAAGAAAGAGTTCGTCAGACAGAGCAAATGTTTTGTATTTTGTTTCTTGTCAGTGAAAAGTGGTGTGAAGGGTCAGCGTGTAGGCAGCCAGCATGGCTGTGATTAGAA